TTCCAACTTAAAGGAATTTCTCTAAGTATCTTGTCATTCTTTGATGAGCCTTCGACATGATCAGCTGGTCGAAGCCTTCTTATATAGGAAACTCTTCTGACTCATAATTAATGGTCTATATGATAACAAACAAGGGTGTCAAATTTAGGAGCCAACACTACCTCAACAGGTGATGAAGGAATATGACGATTACTACCTCAACAAATAATGAAGGAATCTTGGTCGATTACTACCTCAACAAATAATGAGGGAATCTTTGACGATTACTACCTCAACATATAGTGAAGGAATCTTGGACGATTACTACCTCAGCAGGTGATGAAGGAATCTGGCGATTACTACCTCAACAGATAATGAAGGAATCTTGGAGGATTACTACCTCAACAGATAATGAAGAAATATTTGACGATTACTACCTCAACATATAGTGAAGGAATCTTGGACGATTACTACTTCAGCAGGTGATGAAGGAATCTGACGATTACTAGCTCAACAGATAATAAAGGAATCTTGGACGATTACTACCTCAACAAATAATGAAGGAATCTTTGACGATTACTACCTCAACATATAGTGAAGGAATCTTGGACGATTACTACCTCATAAGGTAATGAAGGAATCTTGGACGAATACTACCTCAACAGATAATGAAGGAATCAGACGATTACTACCTCAGCAGGTGATGAAGGAATCTGACAATTACTACCTCAACAAATAATGAAGGAATCTTGGACGATTACTACCTCAACATATAGTGAAGGAATCTTGGACGATTACTACCTCAACAGATAATGAAGGAATCTTGGATGACTACTACCTCAGCAGGTGATGAAGGAATCTTTGACAATTACTACTTCAGCATGTGATGAAGGAATCTTTGACGATTACTACTTCAGCAGGGTACCAAAAATTTGTCTGGTCATGTAAATAGTTGATGATATTCATCTATTTATAGACTTTTACCTGAAAAGGTAAAAGGGTTAGTTGTATGAAATGTCATGATACATGAAGTGCAAATGACGCTCTCAAAATAAATGAATCATTTCTAACTCCTGCTTTTAAACATATATAATCTTATTATATTTTATTTCCTTTTGTTTGACCCATTGTTTTAGCAATTGGATATTATATTTATCCCATCACACCTTACTAATATAAAACATGCACCTCACATTAAGTGAAACCTACATTGTTTGATAATAATCTTGATGAGTGCTAAAACTTGGAAAGCATAAACTTAATATTCATTTTAAGAGAATTTGTTATTAGTTTCATCTCACCGGCTTAACATGCAAATCGTATCTCAACACATCAACATACAAACACATGCATCAACATACATATATAAAAAGATACAATTATGGCCCCTAACGTAATTGTTCTCTCAAGCCAATGAGAGAACCTAAGCTTAACCTAACAACGATCTACGATTCTCCAAGATAGACCTCTATGGTTATCCTTCTTCAATCTTGTCTTCTTCCTTTTCTTAATTATATTACATTACATAAAATAATACATGTTTTACATACGAGGGAATGAGATGAAAAAAGAAGTTACATATAGAGATTAAGAGAAAGGCATGACACGCAGGTCGTATTTTAAAATCTCAAAACAAAAAAAATTAAAGGAATCTAAGGACATAACTGATCACCACAAGATAACAATAATAAACACTTTATTATTATTATTCATTTGAAATCGCGTCATTTTTCACACAGCTCTTATGCCGTTACAACCCTAACTGCACAACTCTCTGACAACACACCGTTGTGCCGTCATGAACCCCAATGCAAATAATTTCATATCGTCAAACACAACTCGATTGATGATTCAGTATGATTGATCAATATGTCATTGCTTCACCATACTAACGTCGGATTCCGAAGCAAATGAACAATAATCTTTCAAAAGAATAACAATCATTATGTGATTGAATGGAATAAATCGAAATAGTATATCCAATATACCATCTTTGCACCGGAATTATTTATATCATATATAAAGTTGATCGATCATATTAGTGTAACTTATGGATGACTGATGTATCATTGTTTCACCATACTAGTGTCAGATTCCGAAGTATAGTCAACATCGATTCGCCTAAATCATACACACCATGATGCCAAAATTTAATTTACTCGATTATTATTCAATTCATTCCGTGTTTTAATCCAATTAATACATAACATACGGAAAAATAAACAACTATAAGATCCATGGTTTCGTAAGTGGCTATGATACCATTGAAGGAAAATTGTCATCCAAAACGCAGCGGAAATTAAAATTTTTCTTTAGCGATCCTTACGAATGAGCATGGTCAGTGATAGAAACTATTACCTCTTGTGGCGATTCAGACTTTTGATGTTGTGATCACGAGCGTTGATGAATAACAACGCCTCTACTCAGTCCATATGAACAGATTGCTTTCGGTCACAGTACTAGCTACTTACAAACGAAAACTTTGAGTAAGAGAGTGAGACAAATATGACTAGGGTTTCAAGACCGAAATTTCATCAAGTGAAAATGCTTCAGCACAAGGGTTCTATTTATAAAACCACTTGTGTGGTCTGTAAGCTAAAAGTCCAAATAAGGCTGCAAGCTAAAAACCCAATTAAGCATACGAGCATCATACCTTATGATGTATCGTATATCACATAAGTGTGTGTTACCTTACCATATTATGTATTCCACTTAAGTGTATCGTACATTATGGTGTTCTATAATTCACTTAAGTGCATTATACCTTACGATGTTCCTTATTTACTCCATCTCTCATAAACATGTCCTTATGTGTGTGACCCTGTAGGTTTTCGCGACGTTGGAAATTATATTAAATCACACATTTAACATAATAAACAGTGAGCAATATCTAGCAACACATTACTACTATTCAAGTCACAAAAATATCACATGATCTGCCAAAATCTTTCTGTGATAATACTTGTGTGTACAATTACCCTATTGCCCTTAGTCTATATTGAACACAAGGCATAAACTGTGTCATCCTTGTCCAGTTTAATATTAGGCCCTTAGACATTTATCCTGTTATGCAGGATGGGCAAATTCCATCTAGGTCACTCATATCCCTCATCATGCTTTGTGAAGTACCCATCAATTGTCTTTATGGTCATCCAGTTACAGATAACGTTTGATCAGAAATAAAGTACTTAACTCTACATCTAAGATTCATAGTGGTTTTAGGTAGAAGGGTGATATACACCATTAACACTATGAAAATAACTTATGACACCTTGCATAATATTCTATGTAGTATTCTCATATCAGGTCAATCCAATATAAATATTGATCCTAATATTCATACCTATATCAAGACTTGATAACTCCTTATCCATGATCCATGAAATGTGATCATCAGTCTATCTATACAATAATCTCAATGCTTTAATGTTATTCCACTTCACAATAAAGCTCGACTACAGATACTTTAAGAATAATGTCCTTTTGTTTAATGAGATCTCATGATTAAGTCACACTTAACATTTCATTAAACATACAAACTATTCTAGGGACTTTATTATTTTGGAAAAACAAACATAATAAAGAAATACCTTTTATTATTAATAAATAATTTAATACAAGTACCAAATGTATTAGCTTCTAGGGCTTACACCAACAGAAATATAACTCTCTATCCCAAACATGTAGAGCGATATGATCATGATAATAGATCAAGAGGGAGGTGTCATAAGGCCCTCCTGGATAACCGACATTCTCCTCCTCGGGTACCTCAACATGCTTGGGTATCTCATCCCTCTCGGGTACCGCAAACTCCTCGAGAACGCCCCCCCTCACCGGGAACATGTTTATGCGAACGAGAGGTAGACGCCTGAGATAGACGACTCCTCAATGCAGAAGAAGTAAAAGCTCCAGAAAAATCCTCCCTTTGTACCCGATCCCATCCTCGAGGCCTGTTAACCAGCTGTTCAGCTTTCTCTCGCCGAGCAGAGGCAGTCTGGCTTGACCTGCCTTGTCTCAAACAATTGGACGTTTCCTGTTTGTCAGCCATCTTCCTGAAAAATTAAATATAATTGTTAATATCAAGGGATTAAAAAAAAGAAACTCAGGCAAGAATTCACATATGCACATCCGAAATTGGTCCAAGAGGATTTGAGATGTGCACTTCCGAAACCACCTGCAAACAACCATTATCAACAAACAACTTCGTCTTGCCATAAATCAACCAAATATCATTTTTATGTCACCAAAACACTAAAGTTTAACTATTCTAACGATAATCTACACATTATCATTGATTCTAACTAACCAAATAAACTATTATAATATTGTATAGTGAATCAAATGAAAATGGAGAAAATTTACACAAATTTAGAGTTTTGAAGATGAGTTGGAATGACTTGAAAAAAGTTGAAATTGGGAGATGAGTAGAAATGAATTTGTTCTTCAAGCTTGGATAATAGAAATTAAGGGTTTTGGTGTAGAAAGATGAAAGTTTTGTGTTTGAATGAAAATGAATATGTTCTTTTTATTGTTTTGAAAACAACAAAATGACTTCGCATGTGTATCTCTGAAATAATAAATTATGGGATAAATTCGAAAATGCACATCGAAATCACATTTTTTGATAAAATAAAATGAGTTCAGATATACACGTTCGGACACAATTTTTTTATCAAATATTTCGAAGATATTTAAGAAGTTTGGCCAAAGATTTAGAAGAAGTATGCTAGGTGAAATTCTAGTTTTAAATCTTTTTATTATTATTTATTTTAACATCCAATCCAAATTCTAATTGTTATTCGCATAATTCCTTCTCCGAACTTTCAAGTTCCCCCGGCGTTCAAAATCTTCGGCTCCACGAATTCCAAAAATCAACAGTTGAGTATATTCAATAATTTCAATCAATTCCCAATCAATCTCAAACCCTAGAAATTCAATCTCTCTATTTCCCCCAAATTTCAATCACAATCTAACACCGTGTTTTGATCTGACACTGAAATTAGGGTTCAATCGAAGACGCCATGGATGACTGTTGTGCTGTTTGCGCTGAGCCATTGGAATGGGTTGCGTACGGACCTTGTTTGCACCGTGAGGTTTGTTCTACCTGTGTCGCGAGACTCCGGTTCATTTGCGATGATCGACGGTGCTGCATCTGTAAGACCGATTGCAATATCATCTTTGTTACCAAGGTGTGTGTGCCTAGTTGTTGTTATAGTTGTTTATCGATTTGGTATAATTGTTTTGGGGATTTGAAGAGTCTTTTGGTATTATTTTGTTGGATTCACTGTGATGTTTGTGATGATTCACTTTGATGATTGACGATTTTGCTTAACAAAGGGGTTCTCAAACTTACTTCGTTGAGGAAATTTATAACTTTAGCTGCTCAAAATTGCAGTGATTAACACACTGTTAATAATAAGGTTTGGTTGGATCCGAGGCAACCCCAGAATGTATTTTATAGCCCAAGTCTCTTATGATATTGGTCATGTTTAATAGAGACCATTTTTTGGTTAGGAATGGACGTGGTTAACAAAGGGGTTGGGGTTCTCAAACTTACTACGTTAGGAAATTTATAGTTTTAGCTGCTCAAAATTGCAGCTTTTAAGTTTGTTTTGTTTGATAAAAACCTCAATAGTAAGGATCAATTTTTTAATTATGTATTTTGTTTTGTTGCTATTATTTGATGTGGTTGATATTCAATTTTGTTGCATACTCCCAGGCTCTAGGAGATTATACAAGGGTGATTAATGACTTTGCATCCCTTCCGTCTGAGGTGAGGGAAGGAAAGGTTGGGTCGTACTGGTACCATGAGGATATGAATGCATTTTTCGACGATGTGGACCATTACAAGATGATCAAGGCTATGTGTAGGCTTTCATGCAGTGAATGTGACAAGGCGGAGGAGCAACAGAATGATGGGTCAAGGAGACAAGCAAAGTTTAGGAATATAGGACAGCTGAAGGGTCACTTGTTTCACCGTCATAAGTTGCATATGTGCAGTTTGTGTTTGGAGGGAAGAAAGGTGAAATATTTATGTTTGGTATTCCATGTCATTTTAAATTGATAAATTTTGCAATCCTTTTTTTTTTTATTTATAATTATTAATTGAGTCTTTATGCAATTGTTTCTATGACATAGGTATTTATATGTGAGCAAAAACTCTATACTAGAGCCCAGTTGAATCAACATATAAACACAGGTAATTCCGAGGTGGATGGAAGTGAGAGTGAGAGAGGTGGTTTTATGGGGCATCCTATGTGTGAATTTTGCAAAACCCCATTTTATGGGGACAATGAACTGTACACACACATGTCTACAGAACATTATACTTGTCATATATGCCAAAGGTAACAATTTAGCTAATCAATCATGTGCTCAACAGAGCGTGTCTTTGTTTTGGTCCGAACTGTTGGAAGTGTAATCTTCATTATATCTGTGCTTTAATTGCAGGCAGCATCCAGGACAGTATGAATACTATAAGAACTATGATGACCTGGAGGTAAGAAATATTCGCTTGCTTCTTTTACTATCATATTCGTCTGAAAGTAAGGCTTTGCTAGATATTTCATGTTATTTGACCTTCTAGTATTTGTATGGGACAAATGTCCTCTGATGCAGATCCACTTCCGACAACAGCATTTCTTATGTGAAGATGATGCTTGCCTTGCCAAGAAATTTATTGTTTTTCAATCTGAATCAGAGATGAAGGTGATTGATTATTTACAGCACTAGGATCTTTTCCTGTTTCTTCATATTTTCTGTTAATGTTTTATTTGAAAGGTGTCTTATGTGCAGTACACTACCTGCTTGATGATCCCCCATGCCTGTTCATTTAGATGTTCACTCTTTCAATCTTACTGTAAAATAAGCAGATGTGTTATTGCTGTTGGTTGTTTTTTCAACGTTGAACCTTTTTTCCCTTGTTTATGACAGAGACATAATACTATGGAACATGGAGGACGCATGTCACGGTCAAAGCGTAATGCTGCTCTTCAGGCATGTACAATGACAATCTTTTCGTCTTGAACTCACTTTTCATGTCTGTTAGTTTTGCTAGTTTTCAAAGAAATATTTACTTCCAAGATCCTTCCCAGTACCTTACAGAAGTTACCTTCATTGTTTCCCTACAGATACCAACTAGTTTTCGATACAAACACAATAATGAACAGGATCAACGTCGTGGAAGAGGACGAATGTTTCGCCGCGATCATTCTGAAAATCAACTTTCCATGGCTATTGAAGCCAGTTTGGAGACTGCTAATGCTGAGCAAACATATCGTGAGCCAACTTCAAGTAGTGGACAAATTGCTTATGATGACGGGGATGCAGATATTGATTCCATCATTAATCCGTTTGAATCATTAGCTACTGCAGGGTCTGAATCAACTTCAAGATACCGTCAGGCCTTAGGGCATGGCTCTAAACCTCTGGTCGACTCCTCCTTTCCTCCCCTTCCCATAACTTCCAGCAATGGCCAGCAAAGGTCCAAACATGAGTTTGAAGGTTCATCAAGCAATAATACTATGGCTGCACGATTGCGTAGGAATGGCAACAGAAATATATCTGTTATTAACTCTGGAAATGCCTGGTCTGTAGCAGGTCGTGGACCTGTACAAACATCAAGTAGTCATTCACATTCTAAAAAGTCAAAAAATCACGCTCTTGGAGGGTCTCATAACTCTAGCCAAACAAAGACAGTAGTTAGCAGTGGACCTCCACCATCAAGTTATGCTAATCCTCTTGGAGGGTCTCATAACTCTAGCCAGACAAAGACAGTAGTGAGCAGTGGACCTCCACCATCAAGTTATGCTAATCCTCTTGGAGGGTCTCATAACTCTAGCCAGAAGACAGTAGTTAGCAGTGGACCTTCGCCATCAAGTTATGCTAATCCTATTCCATCTGCACATAGAACTGCTCATGGGCAATTGCCTGCTGGTCCATCGAGGGACACACGTGACAATGGTGGAATTGTTCACTCTGCATCAGCTCCAAACCTCGTTGAGAATAACCCTGTTGGAGTTTCAATTTCTGATTTTCCTCCCGTTTCTGCTGTACAAGTGAGCAAGTTACAACCTACTAGCAGCCAGCCTCCGTTGAATGTGGAGAATGTTCAGTCTGCCAACAAGTCCTTGGTTGAAAAGATTCGCAGTACGCTTGATTTTGATGAAGATAGATACACTATATTTAAAGACATATCTGCTCAATATCGCCAAGGAACAATAGATACTGATACATATGTGGACTATGTGCAGCAGTTTGGCTTGTTACATCTTGTACCTGAGTTGGCAAGACTATGCCCGGATGCTCGGAAGCAGAGAGAACTTGTGGAGTCTTACAATGCTGGTTTGCAAAGAAACACTTTTCAAGAAAGTGACGGGGTTTATGGCAGCGCTAGCACCCATCACAAGAACGGCAATGTTGACAAGAAAGGTAAAGGCAAGTCAATAGAGGTTAAGCGGAATCACTCCACTGAGAGATTAGCAGATAATTTTTTAAGCACTGTACATCAACTACAGTCAAATTATAAACCTTCAGAAGAGAAGTTGGAGGTGCTATCAAAAGGTGCTTATCGCACTGACAAGGGTAAGTTTAAAACTGAGCTGCAGACTAATACAAACACTAGCAATCAACACAAGATTAAGCTTGGTGGGAAGACTGAAACTTCAAACGGCAATTTATCTAATCAGAATAAAGAGGATGGGGGTGGTGGGAACAAGCAACGCAAGAAAGCTTCGAAGTTCCTCAGAGTTCGCCTTGGTGATGGTTCTGCATCGGCCCTTCTAGATCTTGATAACTCACGGACTACATCTGATCATATAGAAACAGATGGTTTAGATGGTAACAATAATGATTCTGGAGTTGGACTGCCTGTGCGCGGTGTTTGGCGGAAGGGGGGAGGTCAAAAACTCTTCCCCTAATTCCACCACTTGACCGAAGCTTTGAAAATCAAGCGCAATTGAACTTGCTCGCAAAAACCATAGCTAAGCTGGATTAAGGATAAATAATTCATTTTTTTGCTTGGGGGAGATAATGATACGACGATATCCAATTTTGAGTTAGATTTCAAGTACATCAAGCTAGCATGGGAATTTTGTTGTGGTGTTGTAGGCTGAATGAAATGATTTTGTTTGTTTTGGGGGTATATTTTTGTTCAAGTGTTGATATGAAAGTTGGCACCGAGTGTACTGTATAGCTTTGGTGCGATGTTGTTTTGTTCTGATTAGTATTTAAGTATTTTACTATCTACAGCAGTCACAAGTCTGAACCGTAGAATTCATGTTGGCTGGTGTCTATATATAATGGAGCATATGCTTGGAATTACTGGATTATACTTGCTCAAGTTTTGTCATTAAATTGGTCATTAAGTGCACTTGTTACGATTACTTTTGGGTCTTGTTGTGCCTTAAGGGCACAAATTAAGTAAAACCATCTTTCAGTAATTTGAAGAAAATATTTTTACAAATAATTCGTTAACTTGGTTGGCAATGCATTCTCTTAGGGGATCATTTGTTAAAATAATGGTTGATTTTGACTTTTTGAAAATATTTCTTGTGATAGAAACGGAAAAATACTAATATGATTACTAAACACATTAAAAGAAAATAATTATAGACTCTCTTTGTCAAGCCACGAGCTTATAAGTTACGAGGTTATAATTTATAAGTTTATATGATGACAATAACAATCTGTTTGGTAATAATCTATCTGTTTGGTAATAATATTTATATCACGAGTTTATAATTTATTTTATTAATTTATAATTTATTTTTCAGATATTATTTAAAATGGTATTTTAATTTATATTTTCTTCCACCTTTATCTTTATTATTTTGATTAAAACGCATTATTATCTTTTATAATTTTTTTAAAATTTAAAATAAAACAATTATATATTAAGGGTGTCAGGAGTTTTATTCCCATTAATTTAAAATTTTAAAAATATAAAATAATATGAAAGTGGATAGTTATAGTTAATTATTTTTTATTTTCATAAAAATATATGATTCACACCCTTTTAACATTTGAATACATATTTAAAATTTCATGAGTAATTTATACTTTTGGATATTATTTATTCTAAGATATTTTTATTCTTTCCCACCTACCAAACAAATGAATAATTATTTTTCAACCTCACATTCTCAGTAACCTTTTTCTAGCACCGACACAAACACATCCTAAGTGTTTTTTTCTATCATTTTAATTTATCAATTAATTAAATAGTTAATTTTATCAAATATTTTAATTAATTTATTAATTATAAATTATTAGTCATTAATTATAAATTATCAGCCATAAACTATAAATTATAAATTATCAGCCATCAACTATTAGTCATAAGTTATATACTATGAGTTAGTTTATTAATCAACCACTATTTCTGATTTTTTTATTAAAGAGAGTCATAATCGCATAGACTTTATATTAATAAAGATCCAAAGGTTGAATAAACTGATATGATATTACCAAGTTTTATTATTAAAACGTTAATATGCGTATTTTATTAAGGTTAAAGTTGTTTTAACTACAATTTTAATAGAGAATTAAGCCACGAGACTAACAGCGAAACTACAAGATAATAAATTGTGACATGAATTTTGTAGATTCTTAAAATGAAACAATTACAAATAAATTTTTTGTTTGAAATATCCTAAGTATTATAAAAGGATGCACATTAGAATGTTACTGTTACATTTTTTTTAACGGAAGAATGTTATTTTTACTGATGATAAAATTGTTGTTGAAATAGAGGAATTTAAAAGATAAGAATCTTAGAGAAAAATAATCATATGACATATATCGACGATAAATAAAAAACAAGAGTTATTAGATATTTGTAGACACTTTCTATCACAAGTAAAACTTTTTAAAATTTTTTATTAATAAAATTTTTAAAATTCTTTTTTATTAATAAATAATTTCTTTTTATAACTTGAAATATATATTTTAGAAATAAATTGGTTATTTACTTTTATAGATATCCTACTAATATCTAACCTAATTCATATTACGGATAAACTTTTATTAAAAAGATGGAATATGATAAACTTCATGGTTTAACTAATTATATCATATTGTTTCATTATATATGATATAATGTAATGTAAGGGATTACTTATCTCATACTAAGGGGGGGTGTAAAAGCACTTTATATAAATTTCAAAATGTATTTAATTTCAAAATGTATTTTCGGGTGTGTTTTAAGACTTGAAAAGAAAACTATATTAAAATAAAAAATAAATTGTTTAGAATTTATAAATCGGAACGCATATATATATTTTCTAGAAATTACTCGTTTCTCACTTTAACATAGATGCTTTGAGCTTCTATAACAATGTAACAAATGCAGACTCCCAAAACTGAAAATAAATGTTATTTATATATAAATCCTAAATAATCGTCTATAACCGTCGACTAAGCAGAATCTGCCACATTTTCAATCCATACAAATTTTATTCTGCAAGCTTCCACATGTCTTTGAAAAAACTGTCTGCCTTATCCTTGAAAAATTGTCTGCCTTTATCCATTTTAAGTCTGCTTCGACTATGCTTCAGATCAAAGAATACTCAAATTTTACTAAGTCTTTTAGGACTGCATGACCTTGGTTTTTCTGATAACAAGAATTCAACCAAAATCCTAGTCTTCTTATCTGGTCGTTCGACGAGGAAATTTGTATTTATTGATCAACAAGGTCGACTGAGCCCTTTTCGACTAACGTAAAAACGACCATAATCCAACTTTTAAGAACATGGCCCTTATGCCTTATCTTATACTTATGTCGAAAATCCCAAGGTAATAAATTACCCTCCCAAAAATGTCATTTTCGACTGAACATTATGTCGATGGAGAAATATGGTGTTTTTTTTGTTTTGAATAATTTTCGACACTGTGGGAACCTTTCTGCTGACGTCTTTGTCATAATTACCCCTTTATGTACCTTGTAACTTCCCAAGGATTTTGTCAGCCTTTCTCATGATTACGCCTAATCCCTAGGTCATGGGTTTTAAACTGCTACCACTAACTTTCCCACTTTTTGGAACTAAAACGTTAGGTTTAAAAACGCGCGTTGCCATTTGTCACTCGACATTATGGCTAAGTTGATCGAAGTGTTTTCTCCCAGATTTATTCACATCAGGATTATAATAGCTCTGGTCGACCTCGATGTTTTCAAAGATGTCGTCTTGTCGCCATATAACAATTCTCTAGTGAAGAGTTGATGGAGCGACGCAAATACTAAAATTCTGGTATGCAGATATCAGATGTCCTAAGAGATGTCAAGACACTAATATCTGATCAAAACACAATGAAAATATAAACACAGTTAAGAATATTGAAAGTAAAGAACACACATAGTTGTTTACTTAGTTCGGTGTACAACAACACCTACGTCTCAGACCTACCAAGACAGAGAGGAAATACACCAAATAGTATCTGTTTGTAGACCTTCAACAAACTATCTCCAGTTTACAATCTAATCACCTAATCACTAATCGTGCTTAACTTCTACCTAAGACTCACCTAGGTATGAGACCCTTCTCAATTCCCTTTCATTCACAACAATGATGAAAATTCTAATACTTAGAATGTTTCAGAAGTCACACTTCAAAAATACACAATCACTCAATGCTTAAAAGCTTAAGAGTGATTAACAAAACTTACAACTCAATAGAGACAGTCCTACTCTTATATCAAGATGATATCAGGGAGGCTCATAATAAAGCAAGAACGCACAAACCCTAAAACAATGATAATTCAATAATCCACATTCCACACCTTAAATTAGGTTTGCGACCTTTTATTTAAACAAGGTCTGGACTGAATTTGGGCTTCAAAAGCGCAGCAAGACAACTGCTAAGAGTTTGCAGAAACTTCTCCATAAAAGTAGGTTTTTAATAAAAGGTTTCCTAAAATGGTTCAACATTTAGAAAACACCTTATTTCTTTTAAAATAAACATAATCTCCGATTTCTTAATATTGGACGCTACATAGGCTTACTTAATATTCACATAATATTAAGTAATTAATAATTAACCAAGAATCCAATTTGCAAAACTATAACAGACATGGTGTTGAATCATTTGGTTAGGACATCTTGTTCAACATGTTTCCCTATATGTTAGAACATCTTGTTTCAACATGTTGCTGTCAAGTTAGTTTTACCAAAATTAATGCCAACCATAAAAACAGAGAATTAATAATATCCCCCTTTGACAAATTTTGGCTAAAACAAACTAACAACCCTTGCACACAAACACACCAATCCATATTACAACAGAACACCATATGTTTGAAAATAAATCAAACACACACAATCATAAGCACATCAGCAGAAAATTATCACCAGACATCTCAGACTATAAAAGGTGTCAACAACAAAAAAGTATTAGAGTATCAGTCAGTAGAAGATACTAAGCACAACTAGTCAGAGAAAAATAAATTCTCAGTCATATTGATATCAGGAAATCATGTCTGACATCTCTTCTTCAAGATCAGGGAATCCCCCTCAAAACTTGTGAAATAAACACTAAAGAACCAAATAGTTCTCCCCCTCAATAGTAGCCAACAGTTAGTGGTTAGTGCACATCAACATAACTCCCCCCTTTTAGCCATAATATGACAAAGGTAAGAATCTAACCAAAGCACTAAAACCACATTAGCACAATAAGTTAAGTAACACAAAGTACACAAAAGGTGCTAAAATATGTCTGAGCATAAAACCCTTACAAAAACAATAAACCAAAAGTATACAAAAAAATACACAGCAACAGTCATGCATCAGCATCAACATCATCAATAGTTTCACAGTCTTATCCCTCACCATCAGTATCATCATCATTAGATGCAACATTATCACCATCAGCATCATTACCATCAGATGAAACATTTTCACCATCACTATCATCACCCTCAAATGCAC